AACCCGTGCTTGCCGGCGGTGGGGAATTATCCTCTTTCAGTGATGGGTGCCTTGTTGTCTCCTGGTCTGGAAGGGGAATTCAAGAATACTGACAAGTTTGGAACTGCTATGGAGGCAATTGCCTATGATTGGAGCCGCAGTCCAGGCATGGAAGTTCATATTGAACTTATGGCGAGGGTAGCCAAAATGGTTCACCCATTCCTGAATCTGGGAGCCCAAGGGTCGGTGATGGTTTCGGAATTTCTCTGGCAGCGCGGGAGGGCTCGGTTGATGGAGTTCCTTCAAGCGGCGACTTGTGCGGACCAATTGGAGGCTCTCTGGAGAAGGATGGACGACGATGCTGATGAAGAGGTGGATCCTTCGACAGCGGTGCTGGAAGTTCTTGGACCAGAGGGTGCGGTGCTTGATCAAGGGAACAATGAATCCCTTATTCCCATTGAAGATGCTGGAGGTGAGACAAGTGGTGACACTGGAGGGGATGGCAAAGCGCCAGAAGTTTCTCCGGAAGAGGAGACATCCAGTGGGTCATCAAGACTGGCCGACACAAGGATTTTCTTGTGGTCAGTGTACTCCCGCGTGGCTTCGAATTTCTCTATGCAGGACCGCACTACTGGTAAGATCTTTGACAGCACAAAAGGGTATCCTGGTGAAGGACCAAACAATGATGACAATCCTTCCTCTAAGGGGAACTTACCCTGGATCTCGGAAGACTACCTCGACGAAGTGGTGTCAAAAAAGATGGAAAGGTCTTCAGATATGGATGGGTTTGTTCCGGGAAGTGAGGGACCATTGGAAAAGGTAGAGGTGGAGAATGTTACTGCCTCTAAAATTCTTATGGCTCTTTGGAAGAAGGGACATAGAGTTGGTTATAGGAGGTTGTGTCGTTTGAACGCATCTGGATGCAAGGTTGGAGCAATGAAATGTCCAATCAAAAGGGTGCAGAAGATTGGCACTAGAAAGGCCTTCATGAAGATGTTCAATGTTTTTGGATCGTCTCAGCATGGCTCAGGAGTTGGCGGAAAACCGATCATGAAGGTGGTAGGACCAAGGCCAGGTTTTCCAGCTGTACTCCAAGCACCAAATACTGATAGCACGTCGGGTGAAGGGAGCAGTCCCCAGGTACATGGCAATGTTCATGTAGAGCACAATCGCCCTATGGACCGGTATGAGGCAGAGCGCTTGGAGAAGAGGAAGAAGGGTTTCTGCTATTGGTTCGGCAAGGGGAAAGATCGCTGCAAATTCGGTGACGACTGCAAATTCATCCATTCCGAAGATGATGTGGTGCTACATTCATATTGGTGCAAATACTATGTGGCAGGGAGAGAATGTTTCGCTGGAAAGGATTGTGGGTTCTCGCATGATGCAACTGGTGTGAGGTGCGTCCAGTTTGCTCGGTCTGGGAAGTGTCGATTTGGTGACAGGTGTGTCTTCGAGCATGGTGTTCCGTTGGAAGAACAGAGGCCAAGGTCTCCAAGGACGCCCCCAAGGGATGGTCCAAGGAGAAAGTCTGGTGCAAATGGTGGAGAAAAGGAGATCTCTCCTGAACAGTTCGATGATGATGAGGAGGATTTTATGGTTTATGACGAAGAGACCAAGATGACGGAACTGTTGATGGAGGCGATTTCATTTCTGTCCGGTGGCAAGCCAGATTTGGCTCGAGCAGAGGCGGACCCATTGTTCAAACTCCTGAAGTTCACTGGAGATGCTGACCAAATGGATCAAGTATGGGTTTCGTGGACCACTGAAATGTTGACCGTGCTGGAACTTCTCGAAGTAGTGAAGTCGTATGAGGTTTCGCTCGCGGAGGTGGAAGAATGGGTCAATGACCTGAGGATATGGTATGAGCGAGCCAATTTGGGAGAGGAAAAGGATCCCAAAAGAGGTAAAAAGAGATCCCTAGAAAGGGAGTCCAGCAAGGATATTCCTGCCGAAAAAGGAGTGGTTGAGACTTCGGAGACGGAGGTTGCCGTTGAAGAAGAGAAGAAAAAGGTAAAAAAGAAGAGGAAAGCTGCAGCTATCGAAGATCCTTACACTCTCATGGTTCCAAAGCCGAAGAAGATGCCGACGATCATTGAGAAGGGTGGATCAACATCCAATGTGGTGGCTTCTGCAGTGGAAAAATCCTCGAAGACGCGCACAAAGTCAAATGTCGGTGGAAAGACAAAGAAGAGGGAGAAAAGTCAGAGTCCCAAAAAAGAAGAGGTGGTAATGGTGCAAGATCCTGAGGAAAAGGATCGTCCATCTGATGCGGATGCACCAGGGTCTGCCACTGCGAATGAAGAGCTGGGTCAATCTTGCCAGGCGATTGAGGACGCAAAGAGAGAAGGATTGGTATCCTCAATTCAAAGGGGCGTACAGGATCCTGTTCTTACAGTTTCGGACCTGGAGTATATTCTGCTGCAACTTCACCTCAAGATTGCCAACAATCGGAAAAAGAAGTGATTGGATGGTATGGATGAAGGGATAGTTTTTCTCTTTCTGGAGACGGGTGCGCTGGAACAGCCAATGTGCTGACAATGTGGTGGTTACTATTAAGGGTATGGAAATCCCTGATAGTAGAAGTCAGTAGCTTTTCGCGTAGCGAAGACCACGGTTTGTGGTGAAGAAGGCCAAGGAGTCTTCAGTGATGAGAGGATCATGGTGAAAAGAGATTCTCTATGGGTAGTAGGTTAGCCAATGTGCTATAATTCCGTCCTGGAAGACGTTAAACCACAACTTGCATTTCAAGCAGCTGGCTGCTGCCTTAATGGCAGTTTTTGGCCAAAAGACCTGCATCTCCAATGTGTCCTAGGAAATCCTAGGACAGGGGGAGTGCGGAGCTGCAATTGGTATTGTAGAAAGGAGTTAGTGTTGGAAGTTGAAAGGGTTAATGAACCCGTAAACCATGTTTGGCTCAAGATGGGCTTGAACAGAAAGCCACAAGTTCAAAAAGTAGTGCCTGGGTTCTTAGGGTTTGGTAAGGGTGTGGATTCCTTCCCCCCTTTCCTTTCCCCCTGGGTTGCTCTTATCCGTGTTCTTGGTTGTTTCTTGGTTCGATCTGGGAAATATAAGTTCAGGGCGATTAGGGGAGTTGATTTCCTTCCTTGGTTGTCCCCCCGTACCCTAAACCCTCAACTCCTACGGACCCCTGAGCCCCTGAAACCCCAAAACTCCTAAACCCTAAAACCCCAAACCCCTAAACCCCTAAAACCCCCCAAAACCCTAAACCCCCTAAACCCTAAAACCCCTAGACCCCTAAAACCCCTAGAACCCTAAGCCTTGAAGGTGGTCAATTCTCAGGCAGCAGCCTCGTTAGCTCAACGCACGGTCGGCCCTGGCTCGTCTTGGCAACGACCTTGGGCTTTAGGGGTTATGGGTTTAGGGCTTAGGGGGTTTAGGGGTTTAGGGGTTCAGGGGTTTAGGGGTTTAGGGGTTTAGGGGTTTAGGGGTTTAGGGGTTTAGGGGTTTAGAGGTTTAGGGTTTTGGGAGCTTTTCGAGGTTTTGTGTAGGTTTTTATGATTCTTTTTCCCCACCCTCGGTGTGGAGTTGTTAGATCTTAAACTCAACTCTTCTCCTGGCCCGGCGCACTGCTCGCCCATCACCCGCATCCCAACCCCAGAGTATCCCCACAGAATCCCAGGAGTGCCCAACAGAGTATCCCCAGAGCATCCCTCCAGGAGTGCCCTACTTCAGAGTGAGCCCGCCACTTCCCGGGCGGAGAAGTTCGAAGTTGAAACAATTGAAAGGACTTCGGGATTTAGGCTTCCGTTTTCTAGTACAGGGCTTTATGAGGGTTCAGGGTTTAGGGGGATGTTTTGGGGTTGCTGAACCGGAACCGGCTGCGTCTTACCATCTCGGCTCTATCGTGCTCCGGCTGCCCCGCTTCGGTCAAGCTTTCGCGTCGGGTCAGGGTTTCTGTTCAAACCCCACTTAGTTAAAGCCTCCCTAAATCCAAAACCCCAAACCCTATAAACCCTGAACCCTGAACCCTAAACCCTAAACCCTACGAACCCTGCAAACCCTAAGACAAAAAACCAAAAACTCTAAACTCTAAACCTAACCAACCTTAAACCCTGTGTCATGAATCCTGTGCCTCGATTCCTCGAAGTTTACACCATCGGCTTGAAACCCCACTCATGTCCCACTTTGTTGCATTCTGTACAGGGCTTAGGGTTCGGGTTTAGGGTTTAGGGTTTGGGGTTTGGGGTGAGGGTTTGAGGTTTAGGGTGGCCCTTTGCCGATACGAAAAACCCATGGCAAGACAAAAAGCGGAAGTACGGTCGATGCCTGATATAGGGTACGCTCTTGCCACCAGCCCCCCTGCGCGAATTGGAGCTGGGCCCAGGGCTTCCGAAGCTTCGAAGCCAGCGTCGCACTTGTGCTTCTGCCCGAGCGACAAGATTTAGGGTTTAGGGTTTAGGGTGCCTAGGGGTTGGGAGGGATTGAAGGTGGAGGGTTTCGGGAGTTTAGGGTTTCGAAGTCTAACAGTTTGCTGCAAGGGGTGCGCCAAGTCTGCGCCACAGCACCGCAGTGGGCCAGAGTTTCCGCTACCAACGCATCCTGAGCCCTATAAGTCCTAAGCCCCACAGCCCTGAACCCTCAGCCCCAATTCTGTACTCGGAGCCCGAAACGCTACGGTGGACGTTGGCAGTGGCTGCACCTCTGCCAGACCCCTGCAAACCCAAATAAACTGGATGATTACAGCCGGAGAAGAGGCCTGGTGCGATGCCTTCATGATCTGACCTGAGCCGCAAGCGAACATAAGCTGGCTTGCAGGATCCACATTAGGGTTTAGGGTTTAGGGTTTAGGGTTTAGGGTTATCTGCACCCAACACCTTCCAGCTCAGAGCATGAAGCTTCAGGCTCGGGGCTCGGAGTTGAGGTCGGGGACTGGGGGATGGTCCTGGACATGCAAGTTGCACTTTAGGGCTTAAGGGCTTGTAGAGTTTTCTTCGGCTTGGAGGCCATTGAGTCATGAGGTCCTGGTTTGGGCGCGATCAGCGGAAACACCGGCTAGGGCCCTAGCCACAGCTCCAGCAGAAGTGGCGACGGCAGTTGGGGCAGTCCATGTAATTGCAGCCACCATCCTCGAAAGCAACGAGGGCTGTCAACAGCCAGGGCCTTTTACTTCAGCTTGATACACAGCCCAGGCAGAAGCGCTGGGGGCTCCGCCTTCTGGATGGGCATCTTGCCTCCGGAGGCAAGATCTGAAAAGCCATGCAACGACGACCGCCCTACCGATTCCAGTGACTCTGAAGGTAACCTCCAACCTTCCCGTCGAGAACCCGTGTAGCGAAACCCGGCTTATCAACCCAGCAGCCTATATAACCCCAAACACTCGGCCGAAATCTTACATGAAGCACTTTCGAATCACAGCTGTCACAGGCCACCCTTCAAGCAGACAAGGGCACCCCACGCCAGCTCATGCCCACACACACCCGGGCTGCGAACTTGGGATTGCCAGACAATCTAGGCCTGAAGGCCTTCCACCCTGACACCTCAACACCCTCCTAAACCCTAAACCCTAAACCCTAAACCCTAAACCCTTGTTAGGAACCTCAAGCACTGTCATCCTGGCCATGCTGTCCAAGCACCGGGCACGAGGGACAGCTCTTGGAACTTCGTTGGACCACACCCTTTTTCAAGAGAGGCAATGCTTAGGTGGCGGTCTTTGGGGTCCGGGCATCAGGGGGGGGGGGGGGGGGGGGGGGCCGGGGAGAGAGGGAGTCCATGAGGGAGGGTTTACACGAACCTTTCAGAAAAGGTGGAATGCTGTTGAGGAATTCGGCCTCACTGGCCGAAGAATCTGACCGACCGGTCGACGGAAGTAGAAAATCACAATTCGAGTTATATATGTGAACATTTAACCCTCGAGTATGATTTCTTGTAAACCTGGAGTTCTAGGGTTTGGCTGCAACCCTAAACCCTAAACCCTAAACCCCAAACCCTAAACCCTAAACCCTATAAACCCTAAACCCTATAAACCCTAAGCCCCAAGCCCTACACCAAGCCAAGTGCGGGGCGGCGGAGTCTTGCTCTTGGGTCTGCTGCTTGCCCAACATGACCTGCAGGTCTAGGGGAGTTGATTGAAAAAATAAGACATCTAGGAAGGATGTATGTACATACATATATATATATATATATATATCACATATTTTTTACATTTCATTCATATCTGTATGTATGCCATGGTACCTACCCCCTTCAGTTTCTACCTGTGTGGGGGGTAGCCAACACAAATCTCCACTGTCTTATCTTGCGAATGCGCGTCTCCACTGCCTTACGCTCGCTGTCGTTGCATTCTTAAATAACTAGTCATGAGAGAATGAGAGATAAGAGGATGGGCTGTTCGAAGTTTTAATATACTCTACGCGCTCCAGAAACCTTTTTTGATCCCCGAAAGGTCTCATCCGTACAAGTCGGACCGAAAACCGCCACCCCAATTGCAAGCCTTCGGAAATACGGGCCTCTTTGCGCAACCGATGGAAGCGCTTGCAGCTGATGCTACCATGGTCCCTGCAAGCGACACTACACAGGACCTACCGGGCGGTTGGTGCTGCCTTGAAAACTCCAGATTTTCCAGGGGGGTGCGGGCAAGGGTGCCAGTTCAACCAGCCTGCGACACAGGGGGCAGTAGACAAAGCTGTTGTCGCACCTGGCCAGAGCGTATACTGCCTTGTGGGTAAACTTCGGATGCATGATTGTCATACAGGTAAGTAAGTCCACTTGTCCAAACCCAATTGAGGGCTTAGGGTGTCGGGAGTAAAGTAACCTTAGGGCTGTTTGGACATACAGCAAGTCAGGTTGGCACAGAGTCTCCTATTACCTCAAACTCAAATATCTTGCCGGTCCCGAACCCCGAACCCCCTAAACCCTAAACCCTAAACCACTGCATCCATCCGAGTGGCAAAGGGCAGTTCCAACCACACTTGGATGTTGGCTGCCTTGGAGAGTGCTGGATCTTCCCTGCGTTGGCACAACTTTCACTTTCAGCTGCCCCCGCTTGGAGCAGCAGCTGAACGGTCTTGATGCTTTGTAGGCATAAACGTAGGGAATGTAGGGTTTTGGCTCCGAACCCTCAACCCTCAACCCTAAACTCTAAACCCTAAACCCCGAACAGGTGTTGCTTCCGGCACAGGCTGGCTCCAAGGCATAGCGACAATAGGACCCGATCCGCTATGCCGGCCAGGTGCGATGGATCCACCCAGCCGCCGCCTGGGCACCTGGGTGTGGGGCTTCAGCCAGTTTAGGACTACTATAGGGGCCTGAATGATTCGAAAAGGGTTTTGGGGGCTATTATAGTACATTTAAAAGGGACCATAAGGGAATACTACTAGTAGTTATTCCGACGCGAAGCTGCGCATGTCTGTTTGGCTGAAAAGCTGCCATGCTTAGGAGAGCGCTTGGAACACCAAATGAAGTGGGCATCCCTTTTCAGTGACCGCTGCAATGCGGAGTCGCAGTACCTCCCAGTGGCACACTGGCAAAAGAGCGGTGCCTTTGGAGGTTGGTAGTTCAAGTGAGGATTTTTAAGCGATAAATAGAGTAACTTATGCATGTGACCTTTAACTTTAAACTTTGTGATGGGATACGAAATACCTAAAACTACCCATGAAATGATGAGGGGCAGTCGGCAAAGAGACCTGAAAATGATATCGAAATGATGAGGGGCAGCCGGCAAAGAGACCGGACAATGCTATCGAAATGACGAGGGGCAGCCGGCAAAGAGACCTGAAAATGCTATCGAAATGATGAGGGGCAGCCGGCAAAGAGACCCCATTTGGGTTTTGGTGTGGGGGGTTTGGGGAGGTTTTTGCAGGTGCCTCTCCCTGTGCGCGGCATCTACGAGATGCTGGAGGGTCGCGACGGAAAGCTCCTCCCGGGCACATCATGACATCCTTGATATGCCACCAGTACCTATATGGGGGGGTTTACGATACTAGGGGGTACCTAGGACCTTATTGTAAAGGGATTCTACTATTTGGGGGTCTATATTCGGGGTCCCTGTTTATCGTAGACCTCCATATGAAACATCTGGTACCAAGTGAGGCGCGACAGCCATGGACCAGGGCTGGAGCAAAGGATGTGGTATGCCTCTCTGAACTCACTTGGAGGTTCATGGGTAGTGATAAGTAAGGTTATAAGTACCCTCAATCGGGCTATAAGTGTACTTACCATACATATATCCGTAGCTATATCCACCCATGAACCTCCAGCATGTCTGCTCACTCCCACGCCCCAGTGGAGCCACCATGTCGCAGTGGCAGCACTTGATGTTGGGAGAGTCAGCATCGATCTGCGACTCCACCTGAAAAAGAAACAGATGCACTCAAAACCTTCCCAACACACATACTACACACGCGCCCTGACATCCATCATTCCCCGCCACAGCCCCCCAAGCTCCGGGCCCAGGCCACGAAGCATGGCTTGCAGCAGAGGGACTCGGGCAGCTCGGGGCACCTGTCGGTGAGGGTTTAGGTTTCATGAAGTTGAGCAAGCTGTACTTGGAGGATCATGGGACTTAGTAAGTAGGGGTAGAAGCACCCTAATTAGGGTGCCCTACTTTCTGAGTCCCCTGAGCCTTTAAGCAGTGCAGCCCTAAACAACCAAAGAAATTGCCACGCTGGCGGTTCTTAGGACTTCTCTGCGGTTACTATGGAGCTAGTGGGGACGCGTTCTCACGCAAACTGCGTTTCTGAGATTCCCCTCTCAGACTAAGAGAATCCATGTGTCTGCCAGCTAGTCAAGAACTGCCCGATTGCAGCTTGACGAAATTTTGGTGTTGCCAAGATGGCTCGCAGCCAGATCTCACCGTCGCATGGGGTTTGGCTGCAGGTTTGGCATTGCGCTTTGCCGAAGCTGCTAAGCTAGAAAACGCAGCAATGCGCAAAGACGCATGCTGTTTACTGTCCAGTGGCCAATGTCATTCCAAACAGCCACAGGCTCTGCAACAAGGACTTAGCTATGACTGGCTGTCCTAGGGAGGCCCCGACTGGTAAATGTTGCAACCTACTGACCCACTGTCGCACGATCATGTCATCTGAGAGTTCAAGCAGCGCTGCTCAGCCGGGAACATGTACACTAGCAGCCATCAGCCTGTGCGGAAGAAACCGCTCGGAGGCATCTTTGGCCTGCATGGAACTAACCGCTGATGCCGTGCACTTGCACTAGATCACCCTCGTCATGATGCAACCGACTTGAATCAAAGACATCGCCAAAGCTGGTGCCTCAGTGCAAATGAAGCAGGTGTATGGGCCTCACGCAAGACAGAACAACCGCGATCTGCGAGTGTACATGGGTCAGTCACCCTCCCATTCTCAAGTTTTTGGTCGCAGCAGATGGCAAACTTCCACGTCCCACTGGCTTGTTTCGGCATCAACGATGAACCATGATGAACCGGCGACATTGGTGTTTCAAGCCGGCTGCCCTCACAGTGACGTTCAATGGTTAAGGATGACTACTTTCGACCTCAAGGTGCAAACTGAAATTTGCCGGAGCGCGACGGTCCTAGTTTCCCTTAGTTTCCCTGACTACTTACCATATGCAACGTACAATTCGAGCACGCATTAAAACATATATGCACATGTATAAATAACTAGATAAATAAATACATATATATATATGTATGCTAGAATTATATACATATACAATATATTTTTACATACACATACGAATGAACCTGCTGTATGTGCAGTAGAGTGTACATATGGGTGTAGGCATGTGGGCCTCCAGGGCAGTCCACTTCCAAGCTCTCTTCAGCAGCAGAAGCCGGCTTTGGAGCCTGAAGCTCTAGGGTCTAGGGGTTTAGGGTTTAGGGTTTAGGGTGTAGGGTTTAGGGTTTAGGGTTTAGGGTTTACAGTTTAGAGTTTGGGGTTTAGGGTTTAGGGTTTAGGGTTTTGGGGTTTAGGGTTTAGGGTTTAGGGCTCTCTCTTCCTCTCGGCTGATGACACTGAAAGGGACAACCCTTGGTGTAAATGCACATTTTGGGTGTGCTTTTGGGGAAAAAACGCTTCCCCTCATCTAGTTGTACTACAGCCTTAGCACTGGTAACCCAGACCTCCCTATGAATTCTCCAAGAAAACCCAATCCAAACCCCCAAGTAACTGAGGCCTCTCTCATCCTTTAAGCTTCGCCGGTGTTGATGAGACCTGTCATGTGAAAGCAGGCGTTCTGAGGGCCCGGCCGGGGCAGCCTGCCCGCCGGCGGGGCGCACCAATCTGGCCAATGAACTTGCATCCGCGCGACCCCGAGGTAGACAAGCAAACGGATGCCACTAGTCATTTTTTCACTTACGTGGTGGCCAAGTCCGAGGATAGGAATGCGGCACGGGTGAAACCACCTACACAGGGGTTGTACCTAGACACAAGGCATGGAAGTGGAGACTGGCGGCATGAAACTCTGCTTCTTGTGCATTTATTTGTAAGCCTTTGTCAGCCCTGAGGCTGATTGGGGCGTGTTGTCCAGGACGATGTCAGGTGCTTTTTATTGTTTCAGCACGATGTGAATCTGAGCATCCGTGTCGCATGTGGCTCAAAGTCGGGATTGGCTGTACTATACTTCCGTGTTTTGAAGGAACACAGAAGCCGCATCTGACAGCATGTTGTGCAAAAAATCTGCATGTGTTCAACTCATCTTTCGTCGTTCCAGACAGCTCGTGGTCTTCTCAAAAAGCTTTGTCTCGGCGACGTGGTTCCGGACTCGAAATTTGCTGGCCTCAGCGGGCCATCTTTGTCTGTTCTGCGGATGTGTCCTAACAGCTTCTCATCTTCTGAATCTTCCAAGGTACCGAAATAAGCTTTGAGTATTAACGAGAAAGGCTTCTTTCTTTGTATCGCGCTGTTTTTACTCCGAGTTCTATCTATAGGCGCAGGTAGAATCCTCGGGGAGTTGTTCGCCTGGAAGGCATCTAGTTTTCTCAGCTGCCACTGGGCAACGGCAAAATCTCAACATGTCCGGTGTCTTTCGCAACCTTGCTGCTTGCATCTCGAGCCCTGCGAAATGGTGCTTTCACGTGGATCACGCACTGCTGAACGCCAAATATGTCCTCGCCCTCAACTTGGCTGACAACGATGCCGGTATCGCGAACCTACCCAAGTTAAGGTAACTGAAAGCGACATTCCCTTTTCTTACGAAGGTTCGGTAAAGGGCCGCCTTGCTGTCATCAGAGTCATCCAAACGTTCACGAGGTTCAGAGTTCAGAGCTGTTAGGGTTTAGGGTTTAGGGTTTAGGGTTTAGGGTTTAGGGTTTAGGGTTTAGGGTTTAGGGTTTAGGGTTTAGGGTTTAGGGTTTAGGGATACCAACCCAGCCAGCAGGGCCGAATCGCCTCTATGGCCGCCTCGTTGGGCGGCATTCCTGCGCATGTTCGCGGGATTGGGGGCCCTAAAGGTTTGAGGGGTCAGGGCCCCAGGTCGGCTTGGAGGTTCTTTGTGGTCCCTGTTTTTGGAGACCAGAAATGCAAGGTGCGGGGGACTTATGATAGGGACTCAAGCAAAGGACGACAACATCGGGAGCTCTAACCATTTTGCTCAGTTCTGTTGCTTGTCGATGGTTGCGGATTCATCGCAGAGGAACGATCAGCCCCAAACCCCAAACCCCAAACCCCAAACCCCAAACCCTAAACCCTAAACCCAAATTCCTCAGCATCCGCTTTCGCGGCCTTGTGCCACGAGCTCCTTGAATGCCGCGGCGATGGCCTGTTCCATCGGAGCACCGGAGAGAAAGGAAGCTGATGTGAACTCCTGATGTGGGGGTTTACGAAGATGAGGGACCCGCAATATGGACTGCCAAATAGTAGGATCCCCTTATAAGGACCCAAAAGACACCCCGAATTTCGGAAACCCCCATGTGTGAGGGTCTGCCCACACAAGAGATTTGGAGCAGAGAGATAACCTATAAGTTGAGATGTCCCCCCTTATACTAGCAGTCCTTAAGAGGCATTACAATGGGCGGGGTACTATGGTCCCTACTAAAGACTGCTAGTTTAAGGGGGAACATCCCAACCTATATGAATCAAGAAACATGCCCTTTTCTTGCTTGCCGGAGTCTATAAAGAATCCCAAACACTGAAAATTGTGGCTCGGCTGCCTCCTTCTGGTCTGCAGGAGATGGAGCCTGACAGCCAATAACAAAAATAAAAAATCATCTATGGTAAAAATCATTTATGGGTTAAAAAACCCTAAACAACATTCCGTCTGACCGATTCCCTGAGCACCGAAACACTCATGAAATGCAGACGTGACATGCAGACTGCACCATGGGGAAACGGCGGCGGGATGTTCACGGCTCCACGTTTTCCACCCCCCGAGCGAGGTTCAATCTCGGTAGGCTCTTGCACATGTGCCTCCTTTGGGCACCGCTGTGTCAGTGAGACCGTGGAACTGCGGCCCGGCGCCCACGGCAGCCAAAGCCCACAAAGTGTGAATTGAAATGAGGCGGCCCTGGCTAAAACTTGCAAGGGTTTAGGGTTGAGGGTTTAGGGTTTAGTGCTACTGCCTAAACAGTGTGAGTTCTGGCTCACTCCAGACTTTTCCCGGAGCAAACGCCAGAGCAGAACGGGAAGGAGGAAGGCCTGGGCTTGGCATTTGGAGCCACTAGCAGCCCCCCAATGGCATATAGCTTAACATCATCCAATAGAACCACAGAATATGATAGAACACAGAATAACTACATAACATGGCTATTCTGGATATGTTATAATTAAAGAATGCATGATATAGCATGCAGAATGCAACGATATCACTGCCTAGCATAAAATGTGCAACGTATTACCCATTATATATATATATATATATATATATTATATCACACAACAAAATGTAGTGTAATTGCATAATACAATAGAACATACTAACACATCGCATAAGCTACTGAAACATGACAGTGTGCATATTTTTGTATATACACACAACACGTGTATATATCTATGCATACAAAATTATACCTATATATATGTGCATACATATATATATATATAAAGACATATATATATATATATATGTATATGTATATAAAATGCTGGAATGCAAAATACAATGCAATACAGTATAGCATGATATAATATATAGCGTGAACCAAACGAAGGGCTTGAAGCAGGTCATGTCACTGAGGCAATCTGCGAGGGGGGTGGGGGGGGGGGGGGCTGACTTGCTGTGAGCAAAAAAAGGTTGCTGAGCATCCGCGCCCCTCGGACTGGCCGAAGATTGGCGGCCTCCACGGGCAGAGAAGCCAATATCTTATGGTATGTATGTATGTACTGTATAAACAGTATATACAGTGCAGTCTGTGGTTTCCTTGTGGTATGTTGGCAACTCCACCCTTGAAGCGAGGTGTTTTCAGGATGCTTCATGGGCCGCAGGAAGCTTCCCTCGGCAGCTGAATCTGATCTCCCGACTTGCAGGCCCGATGCCAGACGCTCTGAAGTCGC